ACACACACACACACACACACACACACACACACACCTCACAGTATAAAAACTCAATTTAGGGCCAGGCATGGTGGCACACACCTATAACTCCAGCACTGAGGAGGCGGAAACAGGAGGATCATTGTGAATTCAAGATCAGCTTGGGCTACAAACTGAGCTCAAGGTCAGCTTGAACTGCATAGTGAAACCCTAACACACACAAAAAAAAAGGAATATCTCAATTTATTAAGTTTACTCATATGAACACTGGACCCAGCTCTGGTGGCATATATCTATGATCAAATACTCAGGAGACGGAGGAATAATGCTGTTGAGTTCAAGGCCAGCATGCACAACACACTAAGACACTGTCTCAATCAATCAAATCAAATCAAATGAGTGCTGTATAGTACATGATTATTTAACACAGAATTGTACTCTCAAAAACTAACAAGAGGAAAACGCAAGAGTCTCTAGAAAAAATTACACAAATTAAGAGTTAGCACGTGTGTGTGTGTGTGTAATGTACCTCTCTACAGGTGTTTCATTTCAAAGGACCCAGCTTTCTATGCAAAACATTTGAGAAAAAGAGAAACACCTTATCCCATTTCATTTGACAAAGAATATATCTACCTCAAATAAACTTTGGTTTGTGAACTCTACCCAGGAAAATAAAAATTCATTTATGGAGAAGAATTAGAATATAAAAATGTATTAGGGCTGGCGAGATAGCTCAGTGAACTAAAGTGCCTGCTTAAGCAAGCGCAGGGACTGTAGTTCATCCCTGGCACCACATGCTGTGCCTGCTGGCCACAGAGTCCAGGGGTAGTGGCGCACGCCTATAATCCTAGTGCTGCTGAGGCTGAAAACAGGAGGATCACTATGAGTCCAAGCTGTGCAGTAAAACCCTGTAATAACTAAATACATTTTTGAAAAATGTATTCATGCAAAGGACTGATACTTCCATTTTGTCAACCAAATGAAACATCTAAAACAAAAGTTTCAGTAATAATGATCATATTAAATATTTTCCATTGACACAAAATCTTTAATTCATTCATGATAGAGTCATAATTCATGCCTTGCTGCCAGGTGGCTTGAGCCACTGGTGGTACATGCATCACTGTCCCATTAGGTATTTTTAAATTAATTTTCTTAATAAAAGTGACTGAATGCATCTGTACACCAGTGGTTTAAGCCAGCAAGAATGCGTTAAGGAGAAAACTCCACCCTTACAAATAGGACAAAAGGGGCTGGGGTGATATATCAGTAGCTTAACTGCCTGTCTGGCAAGCAAAAGGTCTTAAGTGCAATCCCTAGTACCAAAAATTTTTTAAAAATAAAATAAAAAGGACAAGAGCCAAGCACATAATCTTAGATATTTAGGAGGCTGAAGTAGAAGGATCACAAGTTTGACATCAGTTTGGGAAACTTAGTATGATTCTGTCTCAAAATATAAAAAGAGCTAAAAATACAGGTCAGTACTTCCAACACCACAGGGCAGAGGAGTTACAAGGACGGGACTTAACATTTCTTCAAATAAGGAATTCTGCTTCAGAAGATACTGGTATAGAATAAAGTTATCCAATAAAATAAGACCTTTACCTTGACTAAAGAAACACTCTTGCTCTTAGCAACTCTCCAGTATTTATACTCTGGCAACCTCCAGTCCAATTAACTCAGTAGTCAAGGGAAAACAGTTACTATATAGCTGGTTAGCCCTAGCTGCTGCAGACATCAACCAAGTAAGAAGTAAGACAGAGAGAATGAACAAAAGGCTGATCCAGGAGGATTGTAAGTCTAAAATCATCCTGGGCTACATAGTAAGATGAGTCCATGTCTCAAAAAACTAAGAGGGATGCTGAGCATAGCAGTGTACCCCTATTATCCCAGCATTTGGGAGGATGAGTCAAGAGAATTGTAAGTTCAAGACTATCCTGGGATACACATTGAGTTCTAGGCCAGCCTAAACTATATAGGGAGACTTTACTTAAAAAAAAAAAAAAAAAAAAAAAGTAGTGGTATCTCGCAGAATATCCTAAATAAGTCAAAACTTCAAAAGGACTTTATCTTTGTTCCTGGGTTACTCCCACAGATCTCACCTGTAAATAAGCATCCCATTTTACGGCTGGCTCGGAATACATAGCAAGAACTGTCTCAAAGTATAAATCAAAAAAGAGAATAAAATGGTGTGTACTTTCTACACAGAAATGAGATTAGGCTAACAACAACGTGATGTGGCTTTAGCTGCATCCTTCCTAAAATCAAAGGATTAAGTGCTACCAAATTTTAAGATTTAAAACAAAAGGCTACTAGACATGGTGGCACATGCCTATAATCCCAGCAGTTGGAATACTAAGGCAGGAGGATTGCTTTGAGTTTGAGGCCAGCCTGGACTACATAATAAGACTCTGTCTCAAAAAAGTAAGTGAGCTGGGGATATAGCTCTGTGGCAAAAGTGCCTGCCTGGCAAGTGTGAGGTGCTGAGTTTAATTTCTGGTACAAAAAACAAAGATAAAAACTTCTTTTTCTGAGGGTGTGTGTGTGTGTGTGTGTGTGTGTGTGTGTGTGTGATGTGTCTATGCTGAGCTGTCACTAGAATGTATCCATAAAATAGCCACATCAACAGAGGCACCAGCAAATCTTAGTTTTCTGTTAGAATAGAGGTCTAATGAGTAGACATGACAAATGAAATGAAGAAACATGATCAGAGTGAAGCCAAAAAAATTTTCAGGTAGTAAAATTTGAAAATTTTACTACAGGTCCAGACAATTTCAGAAATTATGTAAAGCTAGAATACATGAGCAAATCCTCCTTCAACTATTCAAATTCTATTATTTTATAAAGAAACTTTTGCTTATAAACAAAAAGTCATTTCAAGTTAGTGTTCTTTTCTTTAACTTAAAAAAATACAAAACAGAATGTAAAGTCCCCTCCATCCTTAGTCCCAAAGTGAAGCTCAAAATATGAAACTGGGGGCCAGGGAGACAGCTCAGTAGAATAAGCGCTTGCCTGGCAAGCACAAGGGCCTGAGTTCAATCCCCAGTTCCGCTTCTGCCAAATTGAAAAAAAAAAAAAAAAAAAAAAATGAAACTGGAAACAAATCTTAGCACCAAAAATCAATTAATAATACTTACTGTGTCTGAATTCCCTTCCAGTAATATATTAATAGCTTTGTTGATATCTCCATTACAGTCATGTAGGGCCACTATGCATTCATCCTGATTTTTCCCCGTCACTTCCATAAGCTATTCAAAGGATTGGTAAATAGTTAGGGACAGACACAAAAAAAAAAAAAAAAAAAAAAGGCACTTAATATTAATTTTGAAAAATAAAAATAAACACCACTACCTGTGCACTTAAAAAAAAAAATTCTGAGATTCTTCTGTTAAATTTAGAAATTATGCAATACTTCTAAATGAAGACAGCCTTTTCTGTCACCCCCATTCTCCAATGGTAGTAGAGTCAAAGTACAAGTCACTCTTCTCCAATCTGACGAGCCATCAAATTTTAATCACCCCCACATACACATATATGTATACACAGACCAGTTACATGCTTACTTAAACTCAGTTCACTGATACAGGATCCCCAAATTCTGAACAACTAAAATATTAAGTGACACTATTTAAGTACAGCCATCATTCACAGAAAAACCAGTCTAAATGTTTTGCACACGTGCAACATTTCACATATTAATTATACTGCATAAATCGTAGCATGGTGTTGCCTGTCCATAATCCCAGCACTCAGGAGGCTGAGGCAGGAAGACTTCTAGGAGTTTGAGTCCAACCTGAACAATATGCAATTTAACAAAAAACTTTCTCAATAATTTAAACATAAAAAAGGGGTAGAAATGTGGCTCAGCGCTAAGGCCCTGGATTCATTGGGGGTAGGGTGGGGCACAGCAATATTCTACATACAAAGTTAAAACCCAAAGTTTAACAAGTTGAATTTTGGAACTAGATATGCTATTTTCCCAAAGAGCTTCAACAAGGCATTGGGTATAAAGTAACCACACAAATCTCACTTCATTCTCTTTAATAAGGAGAATTACTTCCAAAGTCCTTCATTAAGACAATCACAGATGAGGCACAAGCGTCTCAAGTATCAGTGAACAAATCCATGATTAAAATACCTACTGTAGGGGCCGGCCAGACAGCAAAATGGATTGAAGTGCCTGCTTAGGCAGACACAGGGGTCAGGGTTTGATCCCCAGCGTGCTATGCCGGCCCTGCCCCTGGTGAGCACTGAGATGGCAGTGCCTGAGACTGGGCATGGTGGCAGGCACCTGTAATCCCAGCTCTTATGAGGTTGAAAACAGGACAATCACTATGAGTCCAATCTGTATAGTGAGACCCTGTAGACCCTGTACTAAATACAATAAAAAATAAAAATAAAGTTCTAAATGAAGATAAAAATGTACAATCTGACTTCATACTTTTCCAAGTAAAGTCAAAATGACATTCATATTTGAAAAGGCAATTTAGCTCTTCCTTAGCATAAAAACATTTCCTAAAGATGTGTCAAACATACTTTCTACATACAATCATACATAGTATGAGCGTGCTTTCAAAATGTCTAGCCCATTATACAGATATTGGTTCTCAAAAGCCACACAACCGTGGTCCACAAAATAAAATGTGTTGGAAACCTGAAAAAAAAAAAAATCTAGCCCAGTGCTTACAGGTATGCATTCACTAGTAAGTGAAAGCTGAGACAGGAGGATCACTGTGTGATTCAGGCCACCCTGAGCTACACAGTAAGTTCAAGGCTAGCCTGAAATAGTGCAATCCTATCTCAAAAAAAAAAAACCAGTACAGAGACATGAGTCTTGTATAATTGTAGTGCTGATTTCTGCTGGTCTATTGAAAAGAGCAGTTAACAATCTTTTTTGACCAATTTTGCATCTCTAGATCTAATAATCTAAAAAAACTGACTTGAAAACTATGCAACATAACAACCACTGTTGAATTCGTATCTTTTTTCTTTGTCTTTTTGAGACAGGGTCTCATTTCGCAGTTCAGGCTGGCCTCAAGCTCATTTTGTAGCCCAGGCTGGTCTTCAATTCACAATGATGTTCCTGCCTTAGCCTCCCCAGTGCTGGGATCACAGGTATATGCCACCATACCCAGCCTTAAATTTCTATCACTTTGTTTAGTGAAATTCTAAATTTTTTTAATGTATATTTTTACTATTTTTTATTCTCTTCAAAAAATTTTAGGGGGCTGGGGAGATGGCTCAGTGGAATAAGCGCTCTCCTGGCAAGCACAAGGGTCTGAGTTCAATCCCCAGTTCCACAAAAAAAAAAAAAAAAAAAAAAAAAATTAAAAAGCAAGAAACATACTTCAAAATTAAAATCTCTAATGAAATTATCTTGTAAGCACAGTAACAATATAATACAAAAATCATAGCATTCTACATACCTGTTTAACTTTAGCTTCAAAATCAGAATCATTCTTATCGAAGATCACTTGGGCAAGACGCATCTGTTCAACTGTGGCCTGAAAAGCACATATGACTGTTAAAGATTTGAGCAACAAAAATACATCACACACTAAACGCTGGGTCAAGTGGACAAAGCACTCAAGCACTAAGCACTATAGAAATACAAATAGTGGGTCAGGGATATAGGTCAGTGGCTTAAGTGCTTGCCTGGCAAGGGCAAGGTCCCAAATTCAATTCCCAGTTCAAAAAAAAAAAACAGTAACAAAAAAGAAGGTGTCTCTCAGCTACTTATAACCTGTTCCATAAGTAAGTACAAAGCTGAATAGTAAAAAGCACCCAAGTCCTTTGGCTAAATGACCAAAGTTCTTTTTCATCATCATTGGTTATGCAGTTTATTTGGGTTTTCTTTCCCTAGAGGAGGGTAGGGAAAACCAGGATTAGATAAAACAGAAAAAAAATTAATGGGGCTAGGCATGGTGACACAATCCTGTAATTCCAGTTTCTCTCCCAGACAGGAGAGGCACAAGTTTGAAGCAAGCCTGAGCAACTTTTCAAGACTCTTGCCTCTGAGCTACATTACTGACCCTGTACAATTTTTAAGTAAACTTACAACTATTTAACATAGATCATTTTTTAGCAAGGCATGGTGGTGCACATCTGTAATCCCAGCACTCTGGGAGGCTGAAGCTAAAAGGATTCAAAAATTAGAGCCCCGTTAATCTATTTGGGGGCTAGAAAATAAAAAGGGATTTAGTTTCCTGTAAAGGCCTTGGGTTCAATTCCCAATATACAAAAAGAAATTAATTTTATTTTTTAAATTACTCTTAACTGAAATCTTCGTTAACTAGTAACATCTCAAACTAAATAGCTGAGTAATCTTGAAGGAGAAAAAGACACACACACACACACACACACACACACACACACACACACGCGGAATACATGATACCTTTTCTTGGATTTTAATATACAGTGCACTCATTTCAAGTAAACTCACAAAGTGAGGGGAGAGTTACTGGCATTTCTGCATTGTCTTATACTTTTCACAAGGTCTTTCTAGTCTACATGGGTGGATAGTAATAGAAATTTCAGCATTTTCAACCTGTTCTAGACTATTCAATGACCAATTTCATCATTTTAATTTACACCCATTGTACATCAGAGTTTTTTGTTGTTGTTGTTTTTTTTTGTTTTTGTTTTTGGTGGTACAAGGGATCGAACTCAGGACCTTGCGCTTGCCAGGCAAGCACTTATTCCACTGAGCTATCTCCCCAGCCCCCTGTACATCAGTTTAACCACTGTAAGACACTACCCAAGATACTACACTTGAATGATGTTTCTACAAAAGCACAAGCATCCACACTTCAACACTGCTCAGTATATATAAGGGCCTTCAACGTACTCTCATTGTGGCTACTATCATAAGACAATCATTCTCCTGACCATCATCACTTAGAAGTCCCACTACTGCTGCTAAAAGAACCGCTGGCATAATAAATAGATTGCAGTGAGAGGAAGACAAAGCTCCAGAAAGATGGTAAGTCTCAGATTAGAATGTGAATGTTGAGTAACAGCAATCTTTTCTGAATCAAAGAAAACCACTAGAGCCAGGCAAAGTGACACACATCTATAATCCCAGCACTCTGTAAGGCCCACGCAGGAGGATCACAAAATTTTAGTCCCATCTGGGCAACCTGGTAATTTAGTAAGACCCTGTACCAAAATAATATACAGAAAAGGAGTGAGGATGTAGTTCAATGTGAAGGCCCTGGTTCAATCTCACGTACTGTTAAAAAAAAAAAAAAAAAAAAAAAAAAAAAAAAGATGGATGAATGAATGAATGCAAATCACCACTGGCCTTAAACTAAGCCAACATGAGTAGTTAGCCTATTTTTTCTAATATCAATGTCTTTCAGTCAGGTATGATGATGCATGTCTGTAATCCCAGTCCTCAGGAGGCTAAACTACGAGGGCTGCCATGAATTCAAGGACTGCCATGAATTGCATAGTGAGACCCTATCTTAAAAAGAAAAAACAACATTCCCTGAGTCTCAGATATATAATAATGTACTCTACTCTCATTTAAAAATATCCTGCAACTAGCCTGCAAAGATGTAACAACAACCAGCAATAAATGAAAGAGCCTGCTTTCTCAATACCTTTCCCAAAATGGATCCTTCAAAAATAAGGTCATTTTAACTGGCATTTTAAGGGCCGGGGGTGCAAATCATTAGTGGAGTGTATACCCAACACATCCAAGGCCTGAGAAAAGGTATTAAGCACTGTCCCAACCCCCAAAAATATAGTAAGGACCTGGGATGCATGCCAAGTAACCTCCCCACAAAAGTACTTTTTATTTCTTATATGTGTAGTAAGGGTAAACTTTTTAAAATATATCGATTCTAAAACAAAAAAATAAATAAAAATATATTGACTCTGAGCTAGGGTATACATGAGTGGTGGGGCACTTACTTATCTACTATGAAGGAGGACCTGAGTTACATCCCTAGTACGACAATTGGGGCAGGGGGACAGAGAAAGATTTAAAATGCATTCACTAATAAGGTGTATGACAGTAGGTGTGGTAGTGCATGCCTGTAATCCCGGCACTTGGGAGGCTGAGGTAGAAGGATCACCATGAGTTTGGCCTACCTTAAGCTACATACATAGTGAGATCCTGTCTCAAAAAAGCAAAACAAAAAGAGTATAACAAAAAGTTGAATAACCTGGAGTAATGGACTTATAACATCTCCACTTTACAACCTATACAATAAAGGCTGGTTCAGGACTGGGAGTGTAGTTCGGTGATACAGTGCT